CAGTTAGAAATTTATTAGACAATATCAGTATAGGATCCATGCTACAAGTTTTTTAGGCTTGTTCATTTCCATGTTTATTTCATTGGGCAATCATTGCAAAACAAACCAATAATAATCAAACCAAAAACAGTTTACTGCAAAGAAAGATAGTTATGTAGATCTAGCCACATTAGCTTTTCAGATTCCTTTGTCTTCTTTCTAAACTATATTCATGGTTTTATAAAAGTAGTCCTTAACTTACAACAGTTCATTTAGAGACCATTCATAGTTACAGTGGCACTGGAAAAGGTGAGTTATGACTCTCATTTACACTTACGACCATTGCAGCATCCCCATGGTCACTTGATCAAAATTTGGACACCTGGCAACTAACTTATATTTATGACGGTTGTGGTATTCCAAGGTCATGTGATCCCTTTTTGCAACCTTGTAACAAGTAAAGTCAATGGGGAAGCCAGATTCACTTAACAACCATGTTACTAACTTAACAACTGCAGTGATTCACTTAACAACTGTGGCAAGAAAAGTCATAAAATGGGGGAAAACTCACTTAGCATATGTCTCACTTAGCAACAGAAATTTTGGGCTCAGTTGTGGTTGTAAGTCGAGGACTACCTGTACTAGCCTAAGAAGCTGGTAATAAAAAAAATCTAACTTAGCCTTTTAAATCAATAGATCTGGATTAAATTAATTCTACACAGGCCTGGCCTGTAAGCTCCCTTAAGAGAGGTCTATGTTTTAGAAATGAAATAACTATAAAATATTATTCTGATTGCAAGTTTACTCATTCAGAGTTTTGCAGATTTTCAAGCTAAAATAATTTAGAAAAACAAGTTTATACAAATGATTATTGAACCATCAGGTGCAGTTGTAATATAAAGTCTAATTAAGAAAATACTATTCTGATGGCTTCACTGTAAAATTTTGAAACTGTGAGTCTAGGAACACTAGTTAGATTAGAAGATTGCATTAGTGAGCAGCCACACAAAAATAAATAAACAGAAACATATTTTATGCATATATAAGCATTTTACTACAAAAAGATGAAATTAAACTGATAGCATGTGTATAATTATGCAAATGGAGAAAAAGAAACTAATCATATTCATGTAGGATTCCTCTGAATGTAGCAGCAAATCAATTCAAACAACAAATATGCAATACTTACTGGCCCTATTTGGAATAAAAGAAAGAAAACAAAGAAAGCCTAATATAGAATAGCATCATCTGTGAACCAAGTTGTTATGTCCAGGTCATGCCACAATGAATCACTGTCTATAGAGACAAAATATTCATTTAGCATATTGTGAATCCATGAACTCTCCCATATCTGGATGATCATATTAGTTTTAAAACATCAAACTGAAAGCATGTTTTAAGATGATTAATTGCTACGGGACTTTATACACAGATAGCATTTTATGAACTACAGAAAATAACTTGCAGTACATCATAATCCTAACTATGTTTACAATGGAAGCCTTAGTAGGCTCAGTGAATTTTTTTCTTAGCACTTATAATTAAAACCTGTATTCCTGTGCTGTATTAATCCATAATGTGGACTGTTTGGTGTTTGTTTAGAATGTTCTCTAAATCCAATCACTATGGTATGCAAATATATCTATGGCTTAACTGGAATTTATCCATCAAAACCCATTGTTAAGAAATTATGACTAAGCATAATATATGAACCAAATCAGAGGCTCAATAACTTTGATTCAGCAGGAAGCTTGTATGGAATCATGAATTACTTTGACAAAATGAAATAAAACATCCCTAGCAATTTCTCAATAGTTGTTGTGTTGTAATATTTTGCATATAGTTTGAAAGATATTGGATATAGTTCTAAATGCAGGTTACCTGAGAAAGAGAATCACCCCGCCCCAATTTTAGAGTTATCATTTATTGTTTTAATGTTTCATATTGTTTTGATTGATTTGAGAACATAATGGAGGATCCAAAAATTAGCATACTGTAAGTGCAATGAACAATTGCATTTAAATACCATTCTTTCTGCAAACTTCTGAGAGCTATAATTTGTACATACACAACCAGAAAAGCCCAGCCAGAATATTTGTACCTTCCGCAGTGAAAGGGTCAGCCAAGTAACCTGTTATGATTCAAAATGGACAGCAGATATTTTTGTTTTGCCCTTTTCGATGTTCTCGGATTCTTTATGCTTTTCTGTAGTTGTTTCTGATTTCTTGAGATGTTTTTCCCTTTCTGCCTTGTGTCTTTTTAGTGCCTCATAAAAGGCTCTTCGTGTCCAGGGATTTGGAGGGATTCCTAACCAAGGCTAAAATACAAGTAGTAAAGCAAAATATCAACAGACAGGAGTGAAAACACATAGGCCCATATATCCTCCCATATATATAATATATATACTATGGCTATTAACTATTATCTAACTATTACAATCAAACTGCATATTACTTCATAGGGATCATCCAAATTCTTCAACTGAAATGATATTGAAAGCCTTGCCTAAAGTAAATTCTTCTGCATGGAAGAATGTATTGGACTACAATGGCCATCGCTTTTAGGTGTACTGGACTACAATGGCCATCGCTTTCAAAAGGCCTGTTGGCTGGCTATTAGCTAGGTGTTATAATCAGGTCACAAATGGTGATCATAGGGCTGTGGGACACTGAAAGGTTGTAATTGTAAGATACTTGCCAAGTGCTTGAATCGTGACATGAAATGGCTGCAACTATGAAGACTAAGTGTAAGTTTCCTTGTTAAGCACTATCTAAGGTGACCAACCGTCCTCCTTTAGGGAGGACAGTCCTCCTTTTGTGAGTTCTGTCCTCCCTCGAAAAGTGTCCTCCTACATGTCCTCCTTTTTGATATTTGAAGACTAATCTGCAGGGCTTTTTTTTCCTCATAGAACGCTCAGAATGGTGTTCTGGCACCTTTTTTTGATGTTTTTTTTTCAACTTTTGCATGAGCTGTGCTACTCCCCCTATTGGCTTTCGAAAGCCAATAGGAATTGCTGCTGAGCGCGCCAAAACATCCAGCCAGCAAACTTTGCACATGTAAGTTGTCTGCAGCGAAGGCGAATTGGCAGGAACTTTGCACCCCTCCCTGCTACCCAAGTACACCATCTCCTAGTTAATCCCGAAGATACCTGGAGGAGATTGAAGCAGCAACGCCATGGTAACTTTCTCTTGATCTTCAGCCTGCTAGGGCGATAATGGCTGCGGGCGCAAGAGGCAGGGGCGACAGGGCTGCTGCAGGCAGGGATATGAGGGACGGCAGTGGCTGGCTGCCCCCTGTGCTGTGGGAGCTGCGGGGCCTGCTCAACATGGGGCTGTACAGGGTGGGCGGTGATGCTGGCGGGGTGGCTGCAGGCAGGGTGTGTCGATGGCGGGCTGCCCCCCAGGGCCGGAGCCGGGACAGCTAGTGCTTTGGGAGCCGCGGGGCCCACTCTACACGGCAGGGCAGCAGTGCTGGCGGGGCAGCTGCGGGCGGGGACGCAGCATGTAAGCATAATTACAATATAAAATGTTATTGTTACAAATGTTTTTTATTATGCATTTATCATATTATAGTGTATTCTGTATTATTGTTGCAATGAATAAAATGTTTCTTTTATTTACAATATTTTTTTCTTCAATTTATTTGTGTCCTCCTTTTCATTATAAAAAAGTTGGTCACCTTAACTATCGTAACTTTGAACAGTCGCTGAACAAGGATTACCTGTAATGGTCTTGCTGCAACCTGTCTGATATGCCTTTATGGAAAAATACTGTAAATGCCTTGAGTGCCAGATCCTTTTAGAATAAAAGTCTGGGTCTACTGCTTTCTCCATGCCAATTTTGGTGCTGCTGCTCCAATACTGATGCTACATCAGGCCAATTGCATAAGCCAAATGACCTTGAAGGGAAGTTGGCAATGACTGAAGAGAACAGATTGCAGTCAAGACTGTGGTTGCCACTAAAGGAAGACTTGTACCAGGAAAAGATGGAAAATGCTACTTTCATATCAGATCAGAAAAGTGTGACGTTAACCATCTTGGTTATAGGCTAGGAATGTGAGGAGGGCTGTGTTGTGTGAAAATGTCATTAAAAATATTTCACAAGGCATCTATATCAAAATTCAGGAGCAAATTTGCACTATTTTCACATTTTTGGGTTCAGATTTGCTCTATTTGCAAATTCTTGGGTTCAATTGACAGTTTGGGAAAATCATATAAAAAGTACTTTTGACCAGTCTGAAATCTGTCAGAATTAACTAAATGTAATATTAGCTTTAATACCTGGGAAAGCTTTTGATTACCCGCCCCTTTGCTTTTAATTTTTGTATCAATGGAAAAGATATAAAAACTCACAAAACCAGAACATCACTTGTCAATTGACTGGTAGGCCTACAGCATTACTTTTTAATGCAGATGATAAAGCCTTTATTTCAGTTTCAACCTTAATGAGAAAAGCATTAAGATCAGCTGTTTCCTATTGTATGGACAATTATTTGGTTATTAATTACAAAATGAAATAAAACAACATAAAATTATGGTCTTTTCTAAGGCAACATTTGTATTTATACAAATGTAAATTTATATAGTAAATCGGTGGGAATGTTATTTATTTATATAGTCATCAAATTCAGAAGAGGATTCTAGGTGACTTGTAATTTGATGAAATATGAAAAACAAGTAATTAAACATATGATTGGCTCAATGTACTATAACACTGGAACATTGAAAAAAATAACTAACAGAAATAAGAGTTTGTGGAGCAGTATTGTGATCTGGTGTGAATTGAGGAGCACAGAAAGTCCTGGAGTTAAGACCACTTGTTCAGCAACACTTATTTATATATTTTTTTTCATCTGATGTCATTTTTTTCTTTCTTTTTCTTTGTTTCTTCTTTTTCTTTGTTTCTTCTTTTCCTTTACTCTTTTTCACACTATATTTTTTTTCTTTGTATATGCAAAATATTTTAATAAAAACTACTTTAATTTTGATCACGTGACCATGGGGATGCTGCAGCGGTAGTGTGAAAAACGGTCATAAATCACTTTTTTTAATGCCATTGTAACTTTGAATGGTCACTAAATTAAGTATTGTAAGTCGAGGACAAATGATTGTTCAATCTTCTAATCGCGTAAGATTGCACCATGGCAGGCTTCTATCCCACCGGCGGGAAAGGAAGGGACGGGATTTTATATTAAACTAGAGACTCCAGTGATAACGAAGACGGGTCACATTTACAGCACTCCACGCACGAAATCCCCCCTGCCTTCTTCTTTGACGTCAGAATGGAAGGGCGGAGCTAAGACACGAACAGGAAGAACAGAAAGAGCTAGCCTTGCCCGGAAATCCTTCGTCGCGTTACGCCCTGGGGCGGGCTGTACTTGTCCCGAGCTCGGCATGGAGCTACTGAATCCACGTGTGTCTGCCCGAGCCGCCTATAATTCTTTCGTACCGCTCGGTGAACGGGACCGGCCGAAACAACCCCCCGGCCCGCCTCGTGGCGTTTCGCTTTCCCTGAAGCGCCGAGGAGTCAAGAAGCGGCAGCTGAAAGGCTCGGCAGCCGGGAACTGCTCTGCTGCATCCGAAGCGGCCGACCGGGAGCAGCTTAGAAATGCGTTCCCGCTTTCGGGTACCAAGGAAAAGCGAAAACTGAAACGGAATAATATCTTGAGTGGCAAATATTTGGCTCCCTTGCAGAGCCGTCAGAAAACGTTGCGGAAGAAGACGGAGCGCAGACGGGCAGACCAAAAAGCTCCAGAATCACCTCCAGCTGCTGCTGCTGCTGCACTGCCCCATGGAGAAGAGGAACCCTTCTACTCCCGGAAATTGTCTTCGGGCTATTCTCTCCGTTCCCTCCTCCAAGATTTGGGGAACGTCCAGGATAGCCGGGAGCGAGCTGCCAAACTGTTCCACTGGCTCATAGCTCCTGTTTCCTCGCAGGAATTCTTTGATCAGTACTGGGAGAAGTCACCGCTTCTGATTCACAGGCACAACCCAAATTATTATCAGGACCTCTTCTCTACTGCTGAGTTTGATAACATCCTACGCAACCACAATGTCCAATTTGGTGTCAACTTGGATGTGACTAGTTATGAGGATGGGAAGAGGGAGACCCATAATCCTGTGGGCAGGGCAGTGCCGGCTGTGGTCTGGGACTTTTACAGGAACGGCTGTTCCCTCAGGATGCTGAACCCTCAGGCCTTTTCAGTTACCCTCTGGCATGTCCTGTCTATCCTACAGGAGCAGTTCAGCAGTATGGTTGGTGCCAACACTTATCTGACTCCTGCTGGAACTCAAGGCTTTGCCCCTCATTATGATGATATTGAAGCATTTGTGATCCAGCTGGAAGGAAAGAAGCATTGGCGGGTTTATGCCCCCAGACTGCAGGATGAGATATTGCCTCAGTTTTCAAGTAGCAATTTTAGCCAGATGGAGATTGGTGAACCGATTCTGGAGACTGTCTTAGAAGCTGGGGACCTGCTATACTTCCCCCGTGGGTTTATACATCAGGGGAATTGCCTCCCAGAGGCTCATTCACTCCACATAACAGTTTCCTCCTATCAGCGAAACTCCTGGGGAGATCTGTTGGAAAAACTTCTCCCTGTAACATTGAAGATGGCCATTGAAGAAGACATTGAATATCGCCAAGGTCTCCCTGTGGACTATCTGGAATACATGGGAGTCATAAACACTGATGCTGATGATCCACGCCGAACTCTGTTTTTGCAGAAAATCAGGACTCTAGTCACAAAACTAATGGATTATGCACCAGTTGATGCTGCAGTGGATCAAAAAGCCAAGTCTTTTCTTCATGACTGTCTTCCTCCAGTGCTGACTGAGACTGAAAAAGCACTGAGTGTTTTCAGGCATCCAGCACGGTGGGAGAATGGAAATGTGCAAAATGTTGATGTCCAGCTTGAGAAAACTACACAAATACGTTTACTTCGATATGGCATTGTCAGGTTGTGCAATGAAGGAGATGCTACATTGTTGTATTATACCACAGAAAACTCAAGAGTGTACCACAAGGAGGAGCCTAAGTATTGTGAAATAGAGTCTGAATACATAGAGGGAATTGAATTTTTGCTCTCCTGTTACCCAAATTACATCTCTGTGGATGCCCTTCCTTGTGGTTCTTTGAACGATAAGATTGCTTTGGCAACTTTTTTATTCGAGAAGGGATTGGTGATTACTAAAAAACCTCTTTTATCTGGTAACATAAAAATAAATGGATTGTAAGAAGTTATTTTTCTTCTACTTACTAGTATATTTATGATAGTAATCCAAAGCTTTGAAAACTTCCTGCTTGGTATTTGTGTTTGATCTGCACAGATAAAGAGATACATATATATATATTAGATAAACTATAGAAAGATAAAAGATGTAATTTGATCTGCTTTTTAAAATGTTTATAACATGTTTATTCTTAACTTTGGAAGTCAGTTTTTGTCTTTTAAAATGTGAGCTAGGTTAAAGTAATGAAAAAAATTATTCCAATAAAAGATTGCAACAAACCTATATGGTAGACTTAAAGCTTTTTGACTTGGAAAAATGTAAAGATTTTTTTATTTAAGCCCACTGTATGTGATTAGAAATTTAAAAAGCAGGAGATCTACATGTAATATAGTTGATTAGCGTAGAGCAGAGAAAGCCAAATCCAGCACTAGTTCCACTATTACCTTGTGCAACTCTTTACATTGATCCTACAGACTTTACAAACTAAGCAAAACATATTTGGCAGAATTCATTTCTACTCACAATTTTTAAAGCTCAGATTTTATAATATATATATATATTATTTCAGAGACCCTTTTCTCTCTCTGTGTTATGTGAAACAGAGTAATAGTTTTCTAGCTATCTAGAAAGGATGCTAGGGAGAAAAAAGGGGGGGGGATAACTACTGTTCCATCAAACTCTTTTTCATTCCATTCTACATTACCAGTGAAAGCAGTTTTAACAACATCAAGGAAGATGTCACGAATATCTCTATATGCAAAGATGTCTTCCTTTTCCCGATAAATGCAATGGGCTTCATGCCACATATTTTCTATTACTTCTTGAAGTTTTAGTACTTTCTTTATCACTAGAGGTGTTTGGCTTAATCTGGAAATCTGCAACACAAATTGTAAATTTTTTTTACACCATTTATCAATATAACTTTACCCAATTCACAATTTTTGCATCATATTAATTTTTTTTGCTTTCTTAGAATATGGAAGTACAATAGGGAAATATAGTTGAAGAGTGAGCTGCTAAACTAAACAGTTAATAACTTTTAACTTATGTGAGAAAGCAAGTGTTAAGATTGTGCTTTTAACTTTTTCAGATGCTTGTTAAGCTACTTGAAGCTTTGTCAAAATCGGGCTATATGAGTTCAAATAGCATGGACAATTGAAGTTATGTTTTTTTAATCACCATAGAGCTTTGCATACAACAAATAAAATCTTAATTTTTCACTAAGATTCCTGTTTTCTTTAGTTCTCCATGTGCAGTGTGACATAAAGGATATTGGCAACTAGTAGGTCTTATTCCTCTAGCTACAGATCTCAGTGTTGGGTGCTCTGCAGTCTATACCTATACCTTGTGATATATCTTGTCACTTTCAGAATGCACATATATCTTTTCTTAGTAAAAACCTTTATGAATACAAAGCACATCTTGTTTGAAATGATGATAAATCAATTTCCTGGTGTATTAACTTCTTACACCGGAGGGATGCTGATGAGGTCATGCATTCAACAGGGATTTTTCTCATTGTGATATAGTATCTTTTTGGAGAATCTGAATGCATACTTGATCTTCTATATGAATGCAATCAAGATATGCAGAAGTCTCTTGCTTATCATTACCTTGTAGTCTCCTACAGTCTATCTCTAAATACAGTATAAGCCAACAGTTGCTTCAGAACTTTGGAATATGGCCATGTAAAATTCATGCTGACTATCTGATTGCTCTGGTATGATCCTAAGGCCCTCTATGTAACAATTAGCACACTCTTATGTATTGCAATTTGAGATTGTTTCAAATTTTCAGAAGTTACCAGTATTTAGAAATGTGAATATGGAAAGGAAAAGTTTCTTGAAGTGTGGAAATAGCTATTTAATTTTTTGCCTCCTAAAAAAAAAGCAACAGAACATTTTAGATTATAATTTGTTACCTCATTCTTGATTTTTTGGATCATTTCTTGCTCTTCCTCTTGTTCAAATTTGAAATTTGTCACAGCACGACTCACTTCTCTGTTCAGAGAAACAGGCCTTTTCAGAAATCTCAAAAGTCAAATCTACATTTTATTTATTCAGAATTTATTTATATGCCATCCCCCTTCCCTTAAGAGCATTTATTTTTATCTTTGCTGAACACATAGCATCTGATAGACTTTTTCTGTATATCTGAGGCTAGCGCAATGCTACAAAAATGTCTTGTTCCATTTGCAATTAAATGTTCAATCCTTCCCCAAATTTAGAAAAAGGTTAATCCCAGAGAAAACTATTCCATTATTAGGTCCACACACTCTTTCAGGTGTGTGGGCCTAAGTTTCCATCCTTTCCAATTAATAGAGCCTGTTGTCAATGAAAACCCTCAGACACTAGAAAAATACCAATTATTTTCTTCTTTAGATATCTGTGTAAACCTAAATGAAATTATCTTGCTACTTACAAGGATAGATCCTCTCCTGGAATCTCCACATAGCCTCACTTAGTGCTACAATCTTGTGCACAAGTTGTTTGGCAATACATTTCACCAACTTCAATAAGGGAATAGACATTTATTGAGAGGACTGCACAGTGCATATATTGGAAGTATTACAACTAATGATGCCTATTACGATTTGACTAAAGTGTACAAATGGTATTTGCTGAATATCTATTACTGTTAAAAAGGAACTTATATTATAGTCCTCGGCTTACAATCTTAATGGAGCCTGATCCATCATGGTCATAAGTGTAACAATCGTAAAATGGGTCACCCACATGAGCAATCCACCTTTTGTGGTGATTGTTAAGTGAATGCTGCAGTCATAAAATGACCACTGGTCGTTAAGCAAATGCCAAAGTTGTTAAGCACACCACTATGATCTGGTTTTGTAGTAACCAGAAGTAAATGCCAGTTTTTTGCAAAACCGTTGTAAAATATGATCATGTGACCACAGGAGCTACAAATGGCCGTAACATGCACTCATGGGGGTGGGTGAGCAACTGTGGGAACTTTGGAACTAGTTCATAAGTAGCTCCAGGGAGGCCCATCATAACTTCAAACAATCACTAAGCAACCGGTCGTAAATCAAAGACTAGCTATAATTGACTAGACTGCTCTCAAGTCATTAATAAAATATTATAGACAGGATTCAAAGATTGCATCAAGTCTTGTCTTGCTTAAAACTATAATTAGGATTATAGTTATAAACTATAATTATAAATTATAATTAGGAGTCGTGAGCCACAAACCATGGTTTAAAAATCACAATTGGCAATACAGACTATTATTGTCCCATCCCCACATCCGATTACTATAAATCAGTGCAGTGGCAAGAAACACTTACATTTGAAGAACAAGGGGATATTTTTTTCAAAGTTGTAATAAGAAAACATTCTGGCTGAGGAACGCTAGAAGTTGAAAATTCCACCTATCTTAAAGTTGCCAAGGTTGAGAGACACGGTCCTATAGAATGTCCTCACAGAAGGAACTTTCTAAACATATGAGTGGTCTTTAGGAAAACAATAACTTACTCTTTCACTTTCTCATTTGGTTCCAGTATCATTCTCATCAGTAAAGTAGCCCGAACAGTTTCATCCTGCATTTTGAGAGTGATGATACTCCGGCAGGCTTCCCTCCGTACTCCAGGATCTTCTTCATAATGAAGGGCCCAGAGAAGAAGGTCTTTTAGGTAAGGACTTGCCTCACCTATCTGACCCAAAGCTGTCAGAAAAGAAAATGATAGTTGCTTTGGCATTTTATGTCAAGAAGGTGAGCTTTTTGTCTCTGTGAACCAGTATTTGCCAGTTATCTGAATAGACCTATATATTCTGAAATGAAATACTACTCTTAACAGAAGCCAAAGAACCTTACAAGCCTTCTCTCTTGAACTAAAGAAGTGATGCTATATTGTATTGATCATATTAATAGTGTTGATCTTTTTGCAAATAAGTCATTTCTTTATGCAGCTATGGGATAATACCGTACTCCTAACTCAGGGGTTCTCAACCTTGGCAACTTTAAGACTTGTGGACTTCAACTTCAACTTCTGGGAGTTGAAGTCCACAAGTCTTAAAGTTGCCAAGGTTGAGAACCCCTGTGACCTAACTGATCAATTAATGCATTAAAAAACAGTGTTAGTTTAACAGAATGTCAGAATCCAAAATCACAGAATGGAGTTAACTGGCAAAGTGTTAATAGAGATAAGTGTGTTATTAATAAAACAGTGAAGGATGAACAACTGATGGCCACATTAGATTTAGTATCAACCTTATCACTTTCTATACTCAACATGCACAATTTTAAAGTATTATTTATGCCCTGTATATCTCATTTAAATTATTATTGGTTTTTGTTGTACCTACTCATAGTTTCTGGAGATGGGCAGAATATAATGAAATGAACTAAGCATCTTAGTAAGCCTGCTGGAGAATTCTGGTAGTTGAAATCCAAACATCTTAAAGTTACCCAGATTGGGAAACACTGGTTTAGTTAATAAATAAGTAAATCTTCTTCCTTCCAGCTCCAGCAAATTACCAGAATTTGAAATGATTATAGAAAGAGGGTTTTGATCCAATTTGATTATATTTAGTGTAGACTTTTTCTTCTTTATGTACCACTCTACTGACATCAAAATTTTTGTAAATTACCTTTTAAGCCAGCCATTTCAAATAAACCGTACATAATATAGTTCATGCCTACATGCAGGTGGTCCATTTTATTGGCCTCATGAAGATTAAATTTACTGCCCTGCTCACTTGCTGTATCTCTATGGATCATAAGTTGGGAGTACAGTTGTTTGATTAGACTTGATAATCACAACACATTTAAATCCATCTTAGCCTACTCCTAGTGGGCCTAAGCCAAGCATGGTTAACCTGGGTCCATGTTGCTCGCTCATACACACACACACACACACACACACACACAAATAATCATGGATGCAATACAATACATACTTCCTAAAATGTAAGCCTTATTCAGGATGTAAGAAGACCAGTTTCCTGTTCTTTTAGTGACCAACTAGATGAATTTTTCACAAATAAGAGAACATCCAAAATTACAGTTACAAAAACTATTTATAGATAGGGTTCAAACTGTCATAAGAATTCTCATCAGTTTAATAGTACAATACCTCTGATGGCAAGAGCTTTGATTTTCCATAAAGGATCGGTCTGCATGATCTTAAAAAGGCATTTCAGTACCTGTTCAACAACAACAGCAACAAAATCTGTTGACGGATATATAGAGCCTTATTCATATATCTTTTTAAAATAGGGTTATTTATATTCAATACATAATTTTTTCCAAAATTAAAAGCTTCAACTAGAGAACCAAGTCCACAATATGCAAGTACAGATGTATCACACAATAAAAGCTTATGAAGATAATTACAATAATTATGTCTTGTGACTTGCTAGATATTGATAAATCCCTGATTCATCCTTCTTGCTGAAAAAAAGTTTGCTTTTACACAAGGAACGGGCTTTAAGGAATAGATAACTGGCAGACCACAAACCAGATTCAGCTCTCAAAGCACTTCATCCTGTTGGCTCTACCTTTTTCTTCCTATTGAGGTGTCTGTGGGATGAAGCCTTTAGTTGCAGTTTTGCCTGCTACTTTGTCATTTCTATTTTCAAAAGGAAGAAATAATTA